ATACGAAAGGATAGAGAAACAAGGGAATGCCGTCTTGATGGAAATCGTTCGTTCTGGCTTTCCTTGTCGAAGGTTTTCTTTTTATTCGGACTAGTCGAATCGATGAATGTGTAACGCGATTTCAGGGCCACAGGTGATACCACGAAAAATGTCGAGACCTGTCGAAGATAATTCGATAAAAGTAATCGACCAGATAAATATCGCGATCGTGCCTTGATTGAACCCGTCTGACGTCGCCAGTGGGATTTTCCCTCGAAAAGGTGGGCGAAATTTTGGAAAATGAATGGAAAATGCATGTCGTTAGACAATTGCATCCGATGTTAGGTTGCTCGAGTTTCGACTTTCTTTACGAGGAGAGAAAAATTGCACGACAGATGCACGTCGAACAAGCTGACAGAAAGCGAGGGTATTTCGTGGCTTCACGTGGATGTGCAACAAGTCGGAGCAGATTCGTACTTTGTCGGTAAGTGCTTTGACGAATCCGAGCTTAACTTTGCACGAATCCAAGGAGATTCTTGAAATTCGCGATATCGGGTTAATATTACATTGATCTTTCTAACAGACTAACCTAAATATCAATAAAATACACGGAGAAAATGATATCTTCTGAAAGAAACCGATCCCTCTAACAGTCTTCCTCTAACAGATTCTCAAAGGAGAATTGAGAATACTTAAAAATATTTTCGTTGGAACAATCAAAAATTCGATAAAGTACCCAGTACCTGACCCAAATCCTATACCTGCACACCCTAAAATTAAGCCCCAATAGTAAAAGGTACCAGCAAAAGTCACAAGTCCCGTGAAACTTTTCTAACAGACATCCGACTCTTACCTGAGCAAAGAGGGTGGTCTAGCGTGGACCGATCCTGGCATCAGAATCACGTTTAGGACACAGAACACCAGTAACGTGGTTAACAGGCTGATGCACGAAGTCATGTCGCCTTTAGTGTCTTCTTCAACGAAACCAGAAGAATCTCGGAAAGCAAATCTAACCGAAAAATCGACGAAAATTCCTCAGCGAATCCAGGGTACACGTCGCAGTACACTGTCTTCACACACTTCCGTCTTGGGAACTGGCACACCGACCGAATTCGCCTCGAACGACGCTAACTACCAAATCGTCGCGCAACACTCGGCAATATATCGTGATCTCGTTTTTCAATCGATGTCTGGCCCTATCCTGGTCGCTTTTGTCTCTTGGTGAACTGTAGCGTAGCTTCGTCTGCGCTTCGAGCATATATACTCGAAGGAGACTGCCGGCTTTGCCCCTCCACCGGGCTATACCCCACTCGATCCGAATCCTCCCTCACGTTTCTTTCCTAGACTAGCCACCCTTTTCCCTGGATTCACCTTTCCGTCCTCATTTTCCTCGTCAGGAGTGACAGAGAACGAGAGGAAATCGGCAATCGGCAGAGTCTCGCCATCCACCTCACGCCGGATTCGCGATTCGCGAATCACGCGGGAAACCCACCGCTCGATCACGGTGCACCCGCGTGACGTGACGAATTCTCCTCGAATTTTCGACATCGTGGATCCTCGCGACCGGTCTTTTTCGTCTTCCAAATCTCTCATCTGCAATTTAAACCGAGACATCGTCCATTTTCCTCGAAACTTCCATCGAAACCTAGGGGACAGACGATGTCTTGCGCAAGTTTAGGCTGGCTCTTGCACTCCTGTTGCGAATCGGTTTAGGGGCTTACATTGCGTTTATGGGTGACTGGTTGATTGGTTGATCCTCGGTTGGAGGAATGCTCGAAAGAGGGTTAACAGTGACTATGATGAATTTGATAGGTGAGAGGTAAAAGTCTGAGACTCATTGAGCGTGACGTCTACAGGATCCTATTATGCGAATTCGAAGAAAGAGGCATACGTAAGAGCGCCGCTGGAGTTTTTTTGAATAGACTTTCTTTTTCTTTCAAAGAAGAAAGAACAAGTAGAAGGTGACTTTGTAACTTTGGTACTCGATAGGACCAAGTGGCTCAATGATTCAATGCCTACTTATCTTGTGGAAAGATACACTTAACGTGTTCTTGATGGTGTAATAATCGCGCTGAGGAATTTATATCACGAAGCACGGTTGCAGATCTGATCGTACGAGATATTGCAAAGGCAGGTAATCGTTTGGCGACATTTTTTTCCGGAAAATCGGTTTCCAGAGCAAATGTGTCGCATCTCGCGCTAAGAATCCATTGAATGATTTATAGATTAATCTGAAACAATCATCGATCATTCGTACGATACGGAGTTGGAATGCGGACTTGCTTATGAACTCATTTTCCGTATTTTCCATTGACATTAATGATCTTCGTATTTTCCATTGCTATTGTGTTTACCTACGGATTCTACCTGTCATCTACCTATCGATTAGCCACTTACAATACGACTACTTCTAGATATTATTCGATATTTTCTAAATATTATTATCTGAAAATATTTCGATTTTATTATATTATTATTTTTAAAGAGTTTCGGTGTTTTATATATTTCTTCGCATCGAAAATAATTTTCTTCCATAGAGATAGGTATCTAAAGAAATTCTCCGTTGTAGCATGTTATAGCATTTTCTCCATACATTTGTCACGCCATAAATAAAATTCAATTCTATTTTCCATCCTTGGTGCGATGTTGAATTGTTTCCCATCGCGAATATCACTCTGTTAGACTTAAACCAAGCATGGAGACATTTCTTGGTCCACGAATGGCACTCACGTTCTGCCAGATCCTTTCGTTCGGGCAATGATCGATTGGCATACGCGTTGCAAGAATAACTTCCGTGAATCAGGGGAATCTCTGTTCATTAATCCGACGATTAATTTATTTATCAACGCACCATTTTTCGAGCCCAGTTTTCCTACTTTAGTGGACATTCCAGCATTTCAAGGCTTACCTATTCCTCCGCAGCCTGTTTCTCCATTTTTCGATCTTTCCAACGAAACTCTTCTTTCTTCGTTTTATTATCCCGGAATTTGCCCGCCTTTATTTTATTTTCTTTACATCTTTCTTTCTCGTGGGCGTATCAGACGATTCGATTTCGGTGAGTGTAACATGAATGGAAATGGCCGGCCATGACACATTCGCTATCGATGCACGTTTACTATCGTTCAGCCTCGTGCTAGAGGAAAAATTCTCGAGATATGTTATTTTTAGAGGAAAAGGAAAAAAAGGCATTATTTTTCGCCAGACGACCTTCCTGTAACGAATCCGAGGGTATCGCGAATTTCATGCGGTTAATAAACGCGTCTGCGTTTCTGCTGTATTTTTCACTGATTTTCGACGAAACAGGCGAATAAATAAGGCGTTCCTCCTGCCGATTCTGCGAATGATTCAGCGACTCTGAGATCCACGGAATTTCGAAAAGAAGCATATATCTTGGATCGAATTTGAACGAAGTTTGTTGCACCGCGCGAGGAAAGAATTTCGGGCAATTTTGAATGTAAATTGAGAAATTCGCGAAATTCCTCCATCGATTCAAAATTTTCATGGCAAACATCATAATTTTAGAGCTGAAATCATTGCAGCTAGCGTGAGTAATTGACTCAGAATTGACATATCCACGTATCTGTCTTTTTTTTCAAACTTACGTTACTTATCACTGTATTCGCGTAATGTAGTATTATATCAGAACCAAGAAAGCTATTCATAGTTTATTAATAAATGTCATTTTTACTCCCTCCGGCTAACTTCCGGGTGTTGAAGGTTAAGTGGCATGCGGATCTCGGAAGCTTCCTGTCAGAATTCTTCAGAAATAACATAAAACATGAGAAATATTTTTAAGTCCCTTTAAAAGGACCTCGATTTTTATAAAATATTATTAGACATTCCATTCAATTTTGCTTTCAACTGAGATATCATAATCTATATTTAATAATTCTCAGTCCCATGAACTCAAACTGAAATTTTAAATGCAACGAAATTTTATTACAAATACAATCTACGTTTATCAATTTCTGTGTACTAAGCTACAACTACAAGGTCGATATGACAAGCCGTGATGTTAATAATTAAATTATCTTTCACAAAGATATTGCGACACGGTGATGCAACAATTTAAACAAAGAGAAACAATTTATGAGAAATCAATAGATATAAAATTCGAAAGTCACACAACGACTCAAAGGGGAAAAATAGCAGCGAGAGAAAGAAGAAAGCAGAGGATTTATGTTAAAAACCTTCTGCCTCGAGTTTAGCTATTTCCTATGTTAAACAATCGTCGATCTGAATGTGAGATTAGAAGCAAGTCGATAAATTGCAACGATTAGTCGGTGGATCCTATTTTTACTGAGGAAAAGAGGATGTTTATACAGTGGCTTGTTGAAAATGAGGGATTCGCGTAACTTCACGTCACGAAGAAAAGTTTGAGAAAATCCATCGAGTCATTCGACGCAATTCGTCATTGCTATTACGTAGATGTGATTCATTCGCTTTGTGTACACAATGAGATGTTCAAATCTAAATGATTTCTTCGATATCTACAACGCGTGTACGTTCGATCGAGTACACTATAGTTGAGAGGTCTAGACTCGCTTATATTTTCTTATGTGTCACGATAAAATATCGTGCAGTTTCTTTTCAGTGTGCTCTACACGACATTCCGACACCCTGGTACACCGATGAAAAGAATCGAATGGATACTCTGCATATCAACCTTTTGCACGTTCTTCATACGCTGAAATAATCGGGAATGTCGATAGTCTGAAGGCATTTCGGAATTACAAGATTTCCTCGTGTATTGACAATGATTACGTAGAAACAAGTTATCGCATTTACATATTAGATAAAACATGCGAAGTGCAGGAGTACGAAGAAAGGCAGAGTCTAAGGATTACGCCATCCGCGAGTTAGTAAACAAATTTCTATGACGAAAAGTAAATTAGAGATTAAAGGATTACAGATCTGTATAATTATAGCACAAAGTGGTATGAAAAGTCACGACTGAAATGTTTGATCAGGTGTTCACTTCAGCTACCCTTATATTCCAAGGTAAAGGAACCGAACGAACCCCGTTTCTTAAATAAATAGTATAACGAAATTTTTGTAGTGTTAACAAATTTTTTAATTTAGAAATATTCACATGTTTCCAGAAACCTATTTATCGTTTCCAGTATTCTTCAATTAATATCTATTATTTGATACGTACAACGCATCCAGCAGAATCGGACAATTATTTTCCAAATTTCGGGAAAATTATTTTCCAAATAAACTTCCTCCTTCCAAGTAATTTTATGGACACTTAAAATACGCCTTATCGGTTTGAACAGTTAAATTGTCGAGGATGTCTCTGTTACCCTTAATTTGCCTGTACGTGGTCACAGACTACGAAATAAGGGTGTTTCTTTTGCAAATTGGTTCTGCATAGTCACATTCACTTCGAAAAAGATCGACTAACAATCGATATTCGATTCCTAAACTCGTAACGCTCGAAATGGCAAGCTTGAAATTCAATAAAGATCCTCTCTTGAAATTCCTCACGCTTGTGGTCTTCCTCTGTTTCAAGCATCTGCATCGTTTAATCTTCTCGATCGTATTCTCATAGGTATAATTCTTATTAACCCTGCTTCTAACAAAATATCGATACGTTCTATTACTATAATTAATGCATTACCCACAAATATCGATATTTTCGCTAAAAAAGAAAAGCCTAAATTTAGTAGGGCACCTTTGACACAAAGGAAGCGTTTAAAATGAAGTGAAGATTCGTGCACGATTAAATTATTAAATGAAAAATGTCAGCTTCGAATAAAGATATAATATGTATTTCTTAGCTAAAGTAAAATAACGTATAAATCACTTGAATTGTTTTCTGAGATTATTATTCAAATTGGATACCAATATACGTGGATTTTGTAGATCTTTTGGCCGCGAGAATTGGACAAGATCATAAATTTCTGAGGAATAGTCTTCGATAAATTATTGGACGACTTAAGTATATAAAACGATAAAACATTTTTATACTATATATTTCATACTTAGATGATATTGTAAAATGAGATACTG